CTCACGATCGTTTAATAGATAATAACGTGTTTAGTTTGATGACCTTATAGGAGGGCACACTATCGTCAGGGGTTGCGTGTACAAGTAGATAGTGAACAAACTTGATCAGGCACGATCTATTCTACATGTTACGTGAACGTAACTGCAATATCGTCGACTAACAGTAGAATATGTTTGGTCAATTTGACAGGAACAATGTGTATGTGTGTGTATGTATACATATATATATAACATCTATGAATGTAACACCCAAAAGGTACAAGGATCGAAGTATGATGAAACATTTTTTTTTTTGTATATATGTGTTCCCCTATTCATCAAAATGATTGATAAATGTGTCAAAAGTATATTGTGTAGATGTATCAAAAGAAAATTCATTATAAATTATAAATTCATTAATAAATGATAGATGAAGATAAAAAAAAAAAGCAAAAAAATGTTTACCTGCAAATCGTTAATTGGCACAACAGTTTGAGCATCCTTGGTAACATTTTGATAACGTTTCGCTTGTTCGGTGGTACGTTCGTAAGCAGCTTCCGATATTCCAGCAACGCATTTGCAAACCAATCCACAAAGTTCCTCATAGACCTCAGCTATTTCATCCAGTAAACCTGGCAAACAATTGGTTTGATAACATTCGCAGATTGCATTGGTAGCTCTCAATTGAAGAACATAAGCATTGTGTGCTTCTAAGTAAGCTCGTTTCAATTCCGTCTCGTTTCCACCTTCGTTGGTTAATAAAGATGCATAAGAACGTTTATAATCAGCCCTTGCACGTTGCAATTTCTCTTCGGATTTTGCTATTTCTTGTTCGTAACCTTCGCGATACGAAAATACCTGAGAAAAGAAGAAATCGAAATAAAATAATTGTGTTATTATTTTTTGAAATGAAAACTAACGTTAGAATGAATGTAATTTGAAAAAATGAAACGCGGTGATGTAATGGAGAAAAGAAACTGATTATTCAAAGTGTTTTATTATTTACTTTCTTTGTAATTAAAAAAAATGAGCGCCTGTATGAATGCAACCCTCCAGACACACTTTGGAAATGTTGCTTGCGACCGCCATCTGTCAAGACGGAATTTTTTTCTGCCCGAAATATAAGCAACCCGTCATACATACGTGTACAAACAGTTTTGACTGGACAAAAAATTCCGTCCCAGTAGATGGCACTCGTAAGCAACATTTTCAAAATGTGTCTGCAGGGTTGCATATCTACAGGCGTAATATTTCCATAATTAAATTAATAATTAAATAAATAATTACAAATTAAAAGTATAAATAATATTATAATAATATTGTATAATAAATTATACCCACGAAATAAATTAAATAATTTATTTAATTTAAAACTAAATTGAATAAAACTTAAAATATATTTTTCCCCGTTTCCTTTTTTTTATTAGTACAAAAAGTAAGTAAGTAAGAGTCAAAATAAGAACAAAAGATAAAACTCACCTTTCTCGATTGAAATTTTCTATGAAAGCTCGCTTCTATGGTTGGCCTTGATAATTGTTGTTGCAACAAGGCGGCAAAATCAAGATGAGAAACAGCATCGGCCTCAACTTGTCTCAAAAGATTTTCCCAAACACGTCGCATTCCGCTAGAATCTAATCGTGGTTCACCGGAACGACTTCGAAAATCATCAACCAATCTGCGAATGTTAGCCGAATGATTTTCCATGGCTTCTCCAAATTCTTGTGCAAATTCTGCGACTGTAAATAATAATAAAAAATTTGTAATTATGAAAAATATAAACAAACACACGCACACATTTTCTACCATGTGTGCAATCTGCTTGTGTTTAAGAATCATTGAGAAAATCATTTCAAAATTATTGAAAAATGTTTCAAATATTATTCTACCCCCACTCCTACCCACCCCTCATCCCTTATTTTAAAATAAGAAAATATTTGATATTCAAATTAAATTGAAATTTACTTTAGTCTCTTTCAAATCGTCGTTTTGATTACACTCCTATTTCTCTTTTTGTATCGCAACTTATGGATGTCATAGGGTAACTGAATTTTCGTGAGTGATTCAAAGAAATGTAGATCACGATGTAGATTACATTCGCAAGTATAGTTTTGTTTCTTATACATATTTTATCGAGGCCAGCCGATATTCACCAGGAAGATTTGAAATCGATCGAGATATATATAAAATATATACACATATTTTAGTATAATTTTAAATAATACATATATTATATAAATATATAAATAAAGAGTGTAGAAAAAATTTAAATTTCTTTTTTTTTTGAACAACCACATACAAGTATCATTGATTATGTTTCTAAATTAAAAAGAAACAGGCAAAAAAATAATATATAATTATATATTTTAAAAAATAATATATTATTATATTTTTAAATATTATTATATTTTTATAGCAAAGGAAAAGAAAGGTTTCCTTCTAAAATTATATTTTTTTTACATATATTATATTATTTTATATAAATATAACATAAAACAATATGACATACCATATATGTGGAATATATATACAAAAAAAAAAAACAATAACTTTTTAATAAAAAATATATTCCCATCAAAAATACGATTATATTAAACAAAGTTCTCTTATATTATATTAGAAAGGTCACTTTTGTATTTTTAAGCGAGACAAATATAGCTACACCTGCATTGCATTGCATTGCTACTCATCTCATCTCATCTCATCTCATCTCATCTCATTTAATCTCATCGCATCGCATCGCATCGAATCGCGTCGCGTCGGTATAAATTTATTATTCACATTAATAAACACTCATGTGTTATTATTCATTCCCTGAATGTTACACCTGATATTTTCTTGCAACTCTACCAAAAATTAACTTGGCCGATTTAACGAAATTAACAGGTAACAAAATTACAAGGTCTGATCTCTAGTAGCACTAAAAAATGACGAAACCCTGACGCGCAACCCTGACGCAAACCTTGACGCAAACCTTGACGCAACCCTGACGGTTGCTATGTGCAAGCAACAAGGTTGTTATATGCGAACAACAAGATAAATAAGATTCCAAATGATGTCTCGCATCTTGTTCTGTTTTTTGGCAAATCACAAGTACGCATTTTCGTAGCACTAAAAAATGACGAAACCCTGACGCAAATCTTGATGCAACCCTCCCTGACGGTTGCTATATGCAAACAACAAGGTTATTGTATGCGAACAACAAGATTGCTTTTTATTGGCGCATTAGCATAATTTTTTTTTTACTGTAACGTTAATACGTAAATACCAAAACCAAAGATAAAGTTTCATTTCTTATATAAATATCAAGAACATAATATATTTTCAACCATGTATGAATATTTATGCATTCAATTCTATTCAATTCTCATGAACACACGTTGTGAAGATCGTTTCAAAAGCATCAACTCAGGCCTGTTCTCTTGTTAGTTCATTGTGTGTAGGTGTAGTAGTAGTAGTTGGGTGTATATCTCTTCTACATGACTGACGAGAAATCATTATTTTCTGTTGGTAGGCACGTTTCAACTATGATACGTGGGATTTACGCCACATTTTCTACATCCTATTTATTTCCATGTATCTATATATATACATATACACATATATGTATGTATGTGTATATGGGAAATAAGAGATAAGTAGAAGTAACGAAAAAAAAAAAAAAATCTTTTTGGCAGAAAGATTTCAACGTGTTTACAATGTGTCTTCGTTCAAATACGTGACACGATTACTCACACTAAACTTAAGCTACCATAAATTTATACAACATTTATCTTTTTTTTTACAAAGCTTTTCCCACATAGGCGGAGGGGGAGTTGAAAAACTTTAGACACGTGTATCTCATTTCGTATTATATATACATATGTGAATTGTGAGAGGGAAAAAGAAAAAAAGGAAAAATAAAAATCCCCTTCTTTGTTTCCTATGGTTTCGTTCGATATCGTAATGAAGTTTGAATACCTGAAACCTTAATAAATCAAAAGAACAATCATATCAGATTTTTTATTCCTTGTTTCTTTTTTTTTCTTTTTTTCAAGGACAAATGTAAAAAATTACATTGAGAAATATATTTTTCAATTGCATTTAATTGGTTTTTTTTCTTTTTTTTTTTTAGAAATGTATTAGAAAACTTCTCGTGTTTTTCTTATTGGTTTCGTGTGTTCTTTAATATATATATATATATATATATATATATATATATGATATTGATTAAAAACAACACGTAGGGTACTTTTCATGGTTAGTAGATATTTTTAATATACTTTATTTGTTAATATATCAGGTAACCAAGAAAGTTCGTGCCGTTTCTAAGGCTTACAAATCGTTTATCTTTATTGATTAAAACGGCACGAAACTTTTCTGTTTGCTTTAATACAATTTTCAAATACACACACAGACACACACACATATATATATATATATAGAAAATACATTATTCTTTTATATTTTCTTAATTAAAAAAAAACAAGTGTGCAAAGTTACGTTCAATGTTTTCAATAACGTTGTAATCGTTATTATAATTAGTGTTATTATAAAATATATATATATATATATATATAAGTTTATTATATTAAATTAATAATATTATATAATATATAAATTATAATATTATATTTATTATATAATAATATATAATAATATACAATATATATAATAATTATATTTAATATAATAATATAATTATATATTAATTATATAATAATATAATATTTATTTATTATATAACAAGTTTATTATATAATATAAGTATTAATATTTTTAATAAATATTTCGTTATTAATTTAGTTTTAATATAAATAAAACAATATTTTATTTTTTTCAACGTAATACTACAATGAAGTATATTATAATGCAAATTGTTTTAGAAATTAAACAGAGTAAAAGGTTCAAAAAGGATTTTTCTACCTCATCTTGAATAATATTACAGACACCTTGATTTTCTTGAAAATCTTTCCACGTTACTCTATTTACTCTCTCTCTCTCTCTCTCTCTCTCTCTCTCAGCTACGATATTAAATAACACAAAGAGTGTAAATCGGTTGAGAAATAGACGCTTGTTTCGGAACTTGACATCACAAACATTGGAAATTCGATATCGTAAGTCGAGCTTTCAAAGCTCTTAAAACTTTCGTGTCATTTCATTTCATCGATTTTTCTTCACTTTGTAAGAATGACATTTAAAAATAAATACACAAGCACATATATA